GAAGGCTTATGTTTTATAGTGCAGAAATCCAATAGACTTGTCAAATATTGTGTTTTCATTTTTTCTGAAAAGTTATTTTGCACATCAGATGACATATAGCTGATTTAAATCTTGCTACTAATTATTATTATTTCTAATATTATTAAATATTATTTCTACTAATCCACAGGCTGACATGCTTACAGAAAGCCAATGCACATTTTTGGGAGGGCAAGAAAAATGCCTAAATTTATTTTGGTAAATTTTCCTGTGGATAAATTTGCGTACTTACGTTGAGCTTCCAGCTTGTAGGAGTGGCAAACTGTTTCAACAGAAAATATATTTTCTAATGGTTGCTACTGGATTCCTGTTACTTTGTCCCTTTATCTAATCTTCATGTTGTGGCTGAGAGAGCCTTGCAATGCAAGGCCTATACATAAAAATCCTGCCTTTTTCTAGCCAAGTCTGAATTTTCAGAGATATATATGTATTAAAAAATACTATCAACGTTACCTAATCTAAGTGCTCTGCTCTTGAGCAACCTACATTTCTGTTCTGCTCATCATCATAGATTCTACATGTGCAGTGTCAGAAGTAGGAAAAGCTTATCCTGTGAACAAGGAGCCTTTGCTTTCAAGTGAGCAGGGTACCTTTTCTTTCAAGTGCTGAAAGGGTAAAATGTCTATGGATAACAGTCCATGGCGCTAGAAAGAAATTATGAAAATGACACAAGATATTATGAAATAAAACGCGTGGCTCTGGTTTATTTAACTGCCCATCCAAGCAGCTTGATTTCATCTTCTGTCAGCTGGTCACTTCATGAAAGCCAGCTGCTGAAGCAGTTTCTCTGACCCTGTCACTAGTTCTGCACAGCTCAGAAAAAACCTAGTTATTGGTGGAGGAGCAGAGAAACATAAGGAATTAGAATTATTTGTAGTAAAGGGCTTGATCTAATTTATACTCTAACTTTACGTCCTTGTCAGACATTTTAGTAAAATCCATTTTTGCTAAAGTGCCTTTTGTTAAGGCTTAAAAGGATTCCTGTATTGCTATAAATTTTTAGCTTCTGAAATTCCCTGAATGTTTCTGGGAAAGGATATGTTACCAGTCCCTCAGACTTAGCTCCGTAGCAATATTGTGGAGAAATACTTGACTCATTAATCAAACGTAAGCTTTGTGACTCTTGCTCAGTGGAATGCCATGGAGTTGCTACAAATAAAAACCAGTGGACTTAGTTTAGGACCAAGTGAATTCTCAACAGAAAATTAACTGCAGTTTCTGTTGTGCACACTTAAATGAAGCTATGAGGTAAAATATATGCATCTACTGAAATCCCCTCAGTAATATGCAGTTTACATTGCTGTTACAAGGGAAGAATATATTCGTGTTATCACTGCCAACTCATCAAGAGGAGAAAAACCATATGCATAGTCTGTAAGAGGAAGTGAAACAAAAAAGAGTAAATATTTGCTTAAAAGGCTGTTATCATAAATATGGGTAGCAGCATCTTTCTTTTACAAGACATAATATATCAACAAAATGTTTTTAATTCAGAATGTGCTTATACACAGAGGAGTCCCAAAGCGGTAAATGGATATGAACTTTCTGAAAGTTCAAAGACTGGATACTTCCAGAGAGTTGATTTGTCTTGACATACATTCATAGTGCTTGTGGAATCAGCTGTAAGCTGTGACAGGCAACTTTTACCCCCCAGCACTCAAACCCCACTCTGTGAGCAGGGCTGGACAATCTAACATGTGCAGAGCATTTGAGCATGCTGCTTTAGGAAACAATCCCAACATATTACTGCTGTAGATTTCTTTCTTACAGTAGGGCTTATAAGAGAATGCTCATACTATAGTTACTAATATTACCAAAAAGGCTCCAGTCTTTAATCCGTTGCACCTCAGTGATTGTCATGTATAAACACTGCTAAATCCATAGGGAAGCACACAGTAGTTGTTTTCAGTTAATTCCATACCAGACTGTAGACTTTTCCACAAAGCAAACCAGACAGTCCAACAAACCTTAATTAAACAAAGGATCAGTTAATCGAGAGAAGAGCTTAGTTTACAGCACAAAATTTACTTTTGGTCTAAAAGAAGAGACATCTGTGCTATTATTTGAAATTTGTGTGTCAAGATTGGCAATGTGGTCTGCCATCGTGGTACTTATATACACTGTTGAATTCAGGAAGAAAGACAATGAAATGTACTTCTTTATGCCAATTAGAAGAGTTCTGAAGAGACAAAGTCAAGGCTATACAATGTAATTTAATGTTAATAGAATGATAGATCCAAAATTTTGTTTAATGCCAGGGTCCAAGAGGACAACCAGGGGATGCTGGCCCTGTTGGAGAAATGGGTTTTGAGGTGAGATTTTAATAATTTATATACTAATTACAAACACTCAAGCAAAGAAATAAGCCTAGACAGTGTGTTTAGAAACTAATTTTTAAATTGCCTTCTGCTGACTTAAATACCATGAGCTGTTGAGAGGCTCTTTTACTTTCCAAAACAAAAAAGTCTAAAATAAGTAGCTTTTTCTGTTGTGAGCACTGTTGTTGGGCTAATTTTTTCTTTTTTCTGGAGCACTGTTCTCCTTGCACTTAAGCAGTAGAACAGCATTAATCATGTGTCCTTGCAAATGGTAAATGAAGAAAAGCAGCTGCAGGCAGTCTTCTTACTAACTTTTGCTTCTATTTTTGTTTTGTTGTTAATATCTCTTTGAAATAAATATGTATTAGCCACATTTGCAATGAAGTAGCTGAGGAATTAGGTCATTTAGAACAGAAGGGATTTAGCTTATTCAAAGAAACGTACTTCTTCAGTTACCCAAAATCCAGTTTTCTGAGTATTAAAAAAAGCTTTAAATGTAAACTCCAAAAAGGACTTTGTTCTCCAAAGGCTATATCCACTTGGCTCCAAGCCCAAACAGCAATGAAGCTGTCAGTCAGATTTACTAAAGATAAATGGTTGCTCAGCCTGCTAGTAATTTGTGGTGAAAGGTACATCCTTACTGGTACTGCTGAATCTTCAGTACATTCCTGACCCACAGTGCAGTGCCTGAACTCCTCCTATACCCTCTTGTCTTTTCTTCTGTTGGGCTCTAATAAGAACAAAGAACTGTGTGTCTTAATTTGATCTTTCAGACATGCATCTTTCCCAGTGTCTCATGCCATTTTTATGCTTCCATTTTGGCTGTATTTGGTAGTTGCAAAAAGTATTAATGATACCCATGTGTAACAGTAGCTCTTGTACCATGCAGGGACCTCCTGGCCCTGAAGGAGAACCTGGCCTGCAGGGAGAGCCAGGTGCAAAGGTAAATGTTGAAATTATTCTGTTGTGCTGTTTAAATTTTCAAATTTCCATAAAAGCAAATCAGAGTGGTCTGATTCATTAGCCAAATAGGTAGTGACACAGGAAACAAGCCATTAAGAAATACTGCTATTGTCATAAAGACTGCATTATCTGTAAACCCTATCATTGTTAGTAATATTGTCCCTTAAAATCCAATTATTTCTTTTTCTTGTGATATTCCAGGGAGATATTGGACCTGCTGGGAAGGCTGGAGAACCAGGGGACCAAGGTTTAAGGGTAAGCTATGGATGCAAGTCTTCTTCCAAAAAGGAAAGTATGTTATGAATTTGTCAGAAATGCAGGTTGAGAAGCCTTAATTTATCAGAAGATTTCAACACAAAGCTGTTTTCTGATACCTTTTCTTTTAAAAAAAAAAATAAATAATGTATTATTGTAGCAAGCTAAAAAGAGTGTTAGTTAAAATGTTGAAATATTTCTAGGTGTCATGTTGCTGAGAGACATGAAAAATTACTTTGAGCATGAAGGTCAATTCAAGGGTGTCCAGGCCAGCTGTTCAGATGACAGCACACAATAATGCTGTGTACAGATACCCAGGCTAGGTGAAGGAACATTACAGTCTCAGCAGAGCAGGGTAACTTGCTGTGCCACCATCTAAAATACCTGACTTGCTGCTAGTGCTGTGGAGGGCTCATTCAGCACTTGATTTTACCAACACTTGTGCCCCTGCTTATTTTTCCTGTGTGTCTGACCCACCTCATCTGACTCAAACAGTTGCCTGTGTAGGCTGAAAAAAACCTTTTAAAGTGCTAGGAACAGATTTTATCCAGGACACTTTTGAAAGAGCATAAACTACATCTTTTCAGACTGAATTCTTACCATTGAGCTCTCTTGTCCCATTAGCTCCTTGCTGTCATCTTTTCCTCCTGCTCAAAATCTCCAGCGAGGTGCATTCCACAATTCCGCCTGTCCTTGGACACTGGTGCTGGCCCACAGTGGGTGCTCTGGGCTTTATCATACCACTGTGGTTGAAATACTGTTATTACCACAAGGTAGCTCGTTTTTTGTTATCTGCACCAAAAGTTGCAAGTTTCCAATGTCTTTAACTGAGGCAAATATTTTAAAATGCCAGGGTGCCAACACTGTTGGTGAACTATGAGTTTTTTGTGGCCCTAAACTGAGTCACTAGCCATACCAATATAGTAGTTATCCATAAATATGGAAGTTTTGGCACAGAATAGGTATATTTTTGAGATTACTGTAATTACATGTTGTAGACTCTGAAACCAAACAATCTTAGTGTCACTGTCCAAGTCTCCAGTGTTATATGGATGTAGTATAGCCTCAGTTTTTTAATGCTGATTTTTTTGTTTTGTTTTCCTGTGTCCAAGATTCCCAGGGCTGTGACTCTGTCACTGTACATCAGTGAAAAATGAAGACAAACTATAACAACAATATAGATGTTGTCCAAAAAATAAAAAGCATGTGTAAAACTAGTCTGAGTTCTTCCTAGGCAATACTTCTATGTTGGAAGTTTAGACAATAACTTTGTTTTTAACGATTCCTTTCTATAAGGGTGAACCAGGACCTCCAGGAGAAGATGGTGTTCCAGGAAAAGATGGCCCAAAGGTACATGCAGTTTGTGTAGCACATGTAAAGCATCACACTAGCTTAAGGACTCAAATATCTTCTTTTTTTTTTTTTTTTCCTCTTCTATCTCACCAGGTCAACAGAGCCCAGTTAAGTAAGTTTCAGCATAGAAGGCCCTGTATCTTATAGGCTTTCCTGTGCCTAGATATGTCCGGGCATATCTCTACCTTGCAAGGGCTGCCAAGTTTAATGGCTTGACAGAAAAAGGCAAGCTGGAGAACTGAGTACAGTTTATTTCTGTGACAACTATCTTGCTGGAGAAAGTGAGCCCAAGGCTGCTCTGATCTCTGCATTGGATCAATGCTGTGCCAGGAACTGTGGCAGATACCAGGACAGGGGATGTCACAGAGAACACCCTCAGGTAGCTGTTGATGGATTGAGGCAAAACCTGGATGTAGAAGTGTATGAATGAGATAGAAAGGGCTTTACCCTAACTTGGAGCTTGATCTGCATCTGACTGGTAAGATTCCTGTCAGTTTTAGTGAGTTTAGCCAGACTTGAGGATTCAGAATTCACTTTTCTCAAGAATAAGTAATTCTGTAGCAGCAGTTTGACTAAGCTGCCATTCCCTGCTCCCCCCCCACTTTTTGTTTTAGGGAGAACCTGGAGACCAGGGACATCCTGGAGAAGGTGGTGAAAAAGGAGAGATGGGGTTACCAGGAATTGCTGGGCCCCCTGGTGAACCTGGCATAATGGGCATTCCT